GAAGGCCTCTCTGCCTGTCATGGAGCGCTGCCACTTCTACTCTACTGGTGCTCTGCCGGCACAGAGCAAGATGGTTTCCTCCTGGAATTCTAAGTGGGAACCAAAATACCAGCCCACCTGCTCTGTGGTTCCCAAAACTAAGCCTATTAATTATAACCTCCCCCACTCAACACACAGGAGGCTTTGTCTCCAAAGGGTAAGAGGATGTAGGGAGCAGGTCTCCACTTGGCTCTAAAGTCTTGGTCACCACAAATCTTTCCTACCAGGTCCTTCCCTCTGCCTGCTGCTCATTTCTCCACCCACCCCACCCCAGCTCCCAGAAGGGGTTTTTCCTTTCCATTTTCGTATTCTCTCCTTACTCCTCTGTGGATTTTAGTAAAATTGTGTGCTCTTACTCCCTAGACTCTGGCTCTTGATATTTTTTAGGGAGACTTTCAAAATTTGATCAGTCTTTCTCAACAAACCCTGATTCTAACCTTCACCAGTATTTCTCTGAGATGAGTTTTTGAAACCAATTTCTGGAAGTGAAAAGATGAACATCCTTGCCTTATTCTCCACTAGTTCTGTCATCCCCCTGATAGAGTGGATGCCTCCGCCTCCAGGAAGGATAAATGCATCAGGGAACTCTTAGCTTCCGGGAAGGTATGTGCGTTGGGGGAGTGGGGGGTTGGTCAGGCTACCTTCTTTGGATCAGGTCTCTCACTAAAAACAAAAACAAATGGTGAGCAGAACATTTTTCAAACCTCTCTGTTAAAGCCAAAAAGTGGGGATGTCTCAGACCAGCTGGGAGAAAAACCCCTAAAACCAGGGAGGTTAGTAAGCAGGCTATTAGAACATCAGAGCCACTGATGCCCTGTGGGCACTTGCCAGTACTGCTCACTTAAGCTTTGAATCAGCAGCCATACAAGTCAACAAAGAATTCAAAGGGTCCCACATGAAATGGGACCCCAAAGAGCTGTACCCTCAGGGTCTAGATCTTAACCTCCTTCTCCCCCCAGTCCTAGAGGCCTTCAGAGAAGCCCTAGCACTAAGGCAAGCCAAAGAAGAAAAAGGCAAGGATAAAATACTGATAGGAAGAAACGGCTGCACATCTGTCTTCACTCAGATTTGCAGCCCCTTGCTGGAATTATTCAAAGAACCTTAAGTCGACACCTTCATTTAAGGTCATCCATGACTTTCAGTAATTCCAGGGACCTGGGAGACAGATACATGAAGCTTTCTCTGGAGGAGGGCATATCTATCTGACACCCGGGGGAGAGCCCCCCAACAAATGATTAGTCAGGGGCATTGACTGGCAAGTAGTCAAAAATCCTACAAAAATCACACCATCATTTCAAGAGTTGTAGAGAAAATGTTTGACAAAACTTAGTTATGACAAAAGCTCTTAAACAGAGAATAGCTGGGAATGTTTCTTAAAGCAGCCTATTTATCAGGGTAGACCAGGTCAGTCTACCATAATAAATCCCCCAATTTTAAGAGCTTAGCATATTAAAGAACGTTTCTCCCTCATCAGATAAATCCCATGTAGTTCCTGAAGGGCTAGAGGGCAATTCACTGCCCAGCCGTGTCTCAGGAATCCTAGTAGGCCCCACCCATGACTTTGCATCCTTAACTTCAGCTTTCAGATTCACTATAAAAGAGTTGTAGGGTCAGCAAGAATTTTTATGGCCAAGTCTAGATGGGCCAGACATCACTTCTTACCCACATCCCATTGACTACAACTCAGTGAGATCACAGAAACCCAACCTAATTTCAAGAAGAATGGATGTATTAGCTTCCAGTGTGCCCAGAAAGGGGAAAACAGAGTTTTAATGAACACATGGCATTGTCTTTGCCACAACTGAAAAAGGATAGCTACAGAAAACTTGCAGCAGACATCATATGTAATACTGAAATTCAAAAGCTTTTCCTCTGATAGTGGCAATAAGGCCCCCTAACACCACCTTTATTTGGTATCATGCTAGAGGTCTTCGGTGGTGCAGTGAGAAAGACAAAAGGCAGAGGGATTGGAAATGCAGCAAATTTGTCAGTATTTTCAGATGGCATATTTTGGACACAGCAGATTCAAAAGACTGTACAGATAAACAATTAGAATAAGAGAGTTTAGCAAGGTTACTACATATGCATTCAGGATGCCTAAATCATATGTCTATATATTAACAAGAAACAGAATAAAAAATATATTTTAAATGCCATTTATTGGGACGCCTGGGTGGCTCAGTGGCTTAAGCCTCTGCCTTCAGCTCAGGTCATGATCTCGGGGTCCTGGGATCGAGCCCCACATCAGGCTTCCTGCTCAGCAGGGAGCCTGCTTCCCCCCACCTCCGCCTGCCTCTCTGCCTACTTGTGATCTCTGTCTGTCAAATAAGTAAATAAAATCTTTTAAAAAATGAATAAATAAATAAATTCCATTTATAGTGGCATCTAAAAAATCAAGTGTCTAGGAACAAGTCTTAGAAAAGGTGCTTAGGCTCTCTATAAGAAAAACTATAAAACTTTATTTAGGGATATTTAAGAAGATCTAAACAAATGGAAAGATATACCATGCTTGTGGATTGGACAGCTAAAAACTGTAAAGGCTTGAGTTCTCCCTAAATTAAATTATAAATTCAGTTCAGTACCTATCAGAATTTCAGTAGGTTTTGCGGGGAGGGGCAAGGAGAGGTGCTTCATTTGTGGAATCTGACAAGCTCGTTCTGAAATGTATACGGGAAGTACAAAAAGTCAAGAATTGCCAAGCCACTCCTCAAGCAGAAGCTAGTGGGAGGATTTGCTTAACCAGATACCAAGATGTGTAATAAAGCTATATGAAGCCAAGCAGTGTGCTGTTGCACAGTGCTGGGCAAATAGAGCAAAGAACAGAACAGCAGAGAAGCAGGCCCTTGTACAGGTGAACACTGATGTTCAACACATGGTTGGCAGAGCACAGCAGCAGGGTGGATGGGGGCTTTTTGGTAACCACTGCTGGAATAATGGACTATCCAAATGAAAAATAACTTAATAGGATTCACATCGTGCACAAAGACCCAAATGTGAAAAAAACAGTAAACTTTTTTTGAGATAATACAGGAAAATGTCTTCATAACAAAAAAAGCACTGGCCATAAAGGAAAAAACTAATAACCCAACCCAACTACATTAAAATTAAGAACATTTTTTTTTCATTTTCAAAGGATTCCATTAAAAAGCAACAATAAGGCAAGCCATAAAACAAGAGGGTATTTATAACTCCTATAACCAACTAATAAAAGGCTTGTATGTAGAATATGTAAGGAACTCTACGAATCAATGTTAAAAAAGCAGACAATCCAAAATATGGGCAAAAGATTTGAACAGGCACTTTCACAAAAAATTTAAGCCTGAATGTTAAATAATATATACGAATAAATGCTCAGCCTCACTAGTGAGCAGGAAAATGAACTTTAAAACAACAGTGAGATTTAATTGCACGTCTCTCAGATTGGGAAGATCCTGACCATAACCTTGTGTGGCAGGGCCCAGAGCAAATGAAACTCTACTGCGTGGCTGGTTGGAGGACAAATAGCTATAACCACTTTGGAAAACGGTCCAGCATTATCTAGAAAAGCTGCAGAGACATCTGCCCTATGACTCAGCAGGTCTACTCTTAGATGTGTGTCCTAAGACAGGCATGGCTCTGTGCACAGGGAGACTTGGGGAAGGATGTCCATAGCAGCGCAGTTTGTAATTGTCCAAAGCCGGACTCAGACCAAGTCCATCAACAGTAAAAGAGATCAATTATTTAGTATATAATCTTGCAATGGAAGGTTATGCAGCAATAAGACTGGTTGGATTACATGAATTTTATTTACATAAAGTGAAAAAGGCTGAACAAAAGAATATATTCAGTCTGATTCCATTTGTAAAAGTTTCAGAAGGCAAATGAATTTATGTTTTTTAAGGCTGCATAAATACATGGTAAAGCTATACAGGACAGAGAATTAATATTAAAAAAGTAAGAGTAGTGATTAACTGCTGTCCAAGTGGGGCTTGTGGTGGGAACATCTGGTGTGGCCGAAGTGTTTGTGTCTTAATCTAGGTGATGATGAAAGCAGGATATAGTTTATAACTTTCTGTCAACCCACATGTGTTTCATGTTTTTGTGTGCATGTTATATTTTATAACACGATTTTTAAAAATATGTCACATCCTAAAACAAAATATCATCCCACTACATAAGGATTCGCTAATATCTCTCCTTAGCACAAGGTCCTGCCAAGCAGGTATGATCCCTTTTCACATACAGGAAAACTGAAGTTCAGAAGACTACGTATTTTATTTTTTTCACATAGGTTGGTAATTGCCAAGGGTGCATTAGGGAGTGATGGAGCTGGAGCCCCCTCCCAAGGCTCTCGGGGTCCTGCTCAGACTCTTTCCATGCTGGTTCTCTGTAGCTTCTGCCATGCCACTCTGGCTCTGAACTTGAAGTGTTCCATTCTCCAGCCCCTGAGCCATACTGCATCACTCATCAGCACAACCCACATCTTTCCCAAAGTAGGCCTTCCCGTTCCTCCTAGACCCACCCCTTCACATCTCCTTCCCACCTCCCACCTACCTGGTCCATGCTCCAGCCCCTCCCTTCATCTTTGATTCACAAGATCCCCTGTTTGGGCATAAGAAACTGCATGTCACTGTTGTCCCATCCATGATTAGAGGATGATGGTGCCTCTGCTAAGTCCTGTGCAGGAGGAGGCCATCATGTACCTTCCTGTGTTCTGACCCTAACTGTCCACACTGCCTTCTGGGCGCCTTGTCTGGCCACCCCCTCACAGCCCAGCTCTCAGGAGAAGTATGACTTGGGGCTATTGCCAACTGGAGAAGCACATGGTGCCTGGAGCAGCCTTTACCCATGCCTGAGGGGGCTGGCCCAGCAGGAGAGAATGCCCGAGTCTGCCCCCACTCAGGATGAGGCCCAGAGAGTTTCCAGGTGGCTGGGTAGTCACTGTTGGCACATACCACACACTCCTGCTCTCCCTTGCCTAGGAATGTACCAGGTGATCGGGGGTATCATCTCTCCTGTCAACGACCACTACAGGAAGCAAGACCTTGTGGCTGCCCACCACCGGGTGGCCATGGCCCGGCTGGCCCTGCAGACGTCCGACTGGGTCCGGGTGGACCCCTGGGAGAGCGAGCAGCTGCAGTGGACTGAGACAGTGAAGGTGCTGAGGTAACAGCAGAGCATGCTTTTGTGTGATGACCAGGGATCATGGGACACATCTGTAGAGCCCTGCGGTTGAAAGTAGGGACCAAGTATGAAGTAGGGCTTCAGCCAGGCTTGCTCAGCCAAAATCCCAGAAGTGCTTTCTCTCAGAGGCAGAGAGACCCACAGACCCACTCTCAAGCAGGGCCAGAATGAAAACAGTCAGAACCCACTGCCTTTCGGGATGCACTTTCTGGAAATGCCCAATCTCGATTCAGAGGGCTGTCTCCTTGGGCTCCAGTGCAGCCACCTAGTAGCTGTGAGACTGGGCATTTAACGTTCTGAGACACATTTCTCACTTGCAAAATGGGGACAATAAAACCTAATGAGGACTTTTTAAATGTAAAGAACTTTTCTATCCCAGAACCCCATTAAAGGATTCACTAAGTGGGACCTTCTATCATTGTCTTCACTGACTAGGGTGAAAACTATATCTACCTCATAAGCCATCTTTTCTAATTGTACAAATTCTGGGCTCTATAAATCTCGACTTTTATGTAAAATTGGAAAAAAAAAAGCCTATAAATCTAGAAAGTTGCTCGGGACCTTTTCCTTTTGGAACTGCTATTAGCACCCAGCAGAAGTAATTGGCTGTTTGAAAGCCTTGAGAGCCCTGGGAGCTGGGACAGTGGGTCACGGACTTGGGTCTGGGAAAGGGTCCTGTGAGCTTACCAGAGAAGCAGGAAGCCCCGTCCAGCCTGGGGGTTAGAGGGGACCGGGAGGTGGGCCTGTCTCTCACAGACAGCCGGCTCTGCTGAAGGGACTGCAAACTGGGCGTTGTGTCTTCTCTCTGTTTGGAAGCACTAGGACTGGACAGTGTCCAGTAATTGGCAGGCCTGTTCCCTCATAAATCGATTTAGGTTTTCATTTTTTACTCATCTTCACAGTCACTTGGTTGAAAACTGTTTACCTTTTTCTTAGATTAAAGGTAAAGATTTAGTTACAGATCTTGGCTCTGATTATTTGCCTTTTTCTTGGGAAAGAACCAGCTAGAAGCGTTCAGTAGCAATTTAGTGCTACTTCAGAACCTCTTGCCAAATTAAAAGAAGAGCAAATATGAAATGACGGTTAGAATACATGCTCTTTTTTTTAACATAAAGAATAAATTTACACCTAGATCATCCCTTCAGAATAAGAAATAACAGCCAGTTCTCATCTCTGGAGGATAGCAGAGGGGAAGACACACAAAAGAGTAGAAAATCCAGCAAATCGTTTAGCTTTAACATATAGTTACAAAGACGCTTTCCTCCTTCACCCTGTGAGAGGCAGTGTGGCCTAGGGCCCAGATTTGGAAGTCCAGTTTACTAGATCAGGGACTTGATGTGAGTTAGCATCTCTGAGCCTCAGTTCCTCGCCTAATAAAATGAGTGTGACACCACCTACTTCTCTGGGGCACTGTGTGAATTAAATGGGATGATGTGGGCAAAATACCTGGTTTATGGCAGGTGCTTAATAATGTTAGTTACCTTCCCTGCCTCCCCAGCACTGGCCCAGAGTTCATCCTCAAGACAGATAAGCCATTCCTAGATAAATATGAACTGGCCACAGAACCATATAATATTGTTGCCACTTCTTTTACAAAATGCAGGTGTGAGCTGAGATTTTACTGATTTTACATGTGCCTTTTTCTTTTTCTTACTCTATTCTTTAGTCCAGTGCCTCTCAGCCCTGGGTGCACCCTGAATCACCTAGGGAGCTTTCAAAAGTACCAAGTTCTCCCAGAGACTGGGATGTCACTGGTCTGGGATGGGGCATCAGAATTTTTAAGGGCTCCCTAGTGATTCTAATGCTTGGCTAGGATTGAGGCCACCATCTCAGTCACAAACTATGTGAACCAGGCTTATGATTAGTACCAAGATCCATCCAAACCAGTGGGCCCTGGCTATAGGAATCACCTGGGAAACTTTTTAAAAAATGCTCATCTCCCCACCCCCAGGAATTATGATTTGTGGGTGGGGTTTAGGCGTGGGTATTTTTTTAAAGGTCCCCAAATGATAGATTTTGTGCAGCCAGGGTTGAAAATCCGCTGATACAGACAACACAGTGTTGCTAATAACTGATCCCATTCTTTTTTTCCAACATTTAGAGTGAGCTTCTCAGAAAATTTGATTATTAATGTTTTCCTAAAATTCCCCAAGCATTTTTCTTTTTAAGATTGAAAATCTGGTAGTTGTAAGGTTAGGTGATTCTAGAAGCAAGGTAATAAACCACCCACCCTTTGCTCCATTTAGTATCTTCCTGACAGAGTCAACAGGGGATTTGCATCATAGGGACAAATAGTGTGACTATGACAAATGTCACTATGAAGTAAGTTCACAGTAGAGTTCATTGAGGATTCTTTTTCTACTTATCAGATTGCTTATTTTTATTTTTATTTATTTTTAATCTAGGCCAGCTTTCATGCTTTTAGGACATTTGATAACTTACTTTGCTCACCTTCTGGAGCTGTGAGGGGAGGTCCTTAGTCACAATGCCATTTGATGTGGCCCATCTTCATGGTCACCGTCACTACTGTCATCTCACCAACCCCTCTGCAAGCATGATCTTACGCTATCTTGCTTTTACAGATGAAGAACCAGGTTCAGAGAGGCTAAGTTAATCAAAGTCACGAATGAGTGGCAGAGCCCCCGTCTGAGTATAAAACCACACTTACGGTCCTCCTCCAACCAGAGATCTACTGGTGGGCGCACAGAGGGGCTGACTCTGTTCCTGCCACAGGGACCCTCTGACCAGGCATGCCTGGACTGCAAAGGGCATAGAAAACTCATTCCCAGGGTCAGCCCTCAGGCCCGGGACTGGGCACACTGGGACACCACTCAGGCAGACAGGAAGAAGCCACGGGCACTGCCCCACAGAGGCCCAGTGGAGGTCTGTGAGAATAATTATTCACACATCAGAGTTCAGAGAGCCAGCTAATATTCAAGTAGGGTCAACTTGAACTAGGATCTTCAAGGTAAATACAATAAAATGACAGTCACCACTTGTACTGATCACCTGTTTGTGCCAAGCTTTTCTAAGTAGGTTAATATCTAGTCACCTCAGCAACTCTGAGAAGTAGGTGGGTTTAGTCCCATTTTACAGATGGGAAAATGGAGGTTCTGAAAGGGTCAGTAACATCCACAGACTCCTACAGTTAGAAAGTAGAGGTGAGACTCACACCTATTTCAGTATGGTGCAAGATTCCAATCTAATTAGGAGTGAATCCTCAGACTTGAAGCTTACCAAAACCAAAGCAGACAATAATGGAAACACAGAGTCCAACTAGACCCTGAGAAGACTCAGCTGAGTCTCTGAGATCATCAAGAAAAGACTAGGGGCCAGAATTAAATGTATTATTGGTCCACTCCTTCCATCATTCCTGAATTCAGCAGATTTTAGGTAAGCAGTTCCTGAGAACTATGACTATAAGGATGAATTATATGAGCTCACCATTCACAGAAAAACTGCTAAAGTTGACTGGGTTCTTTCTGTGGACAGGCTGGTACTAAGCCGCTCCATGAATCCTCAGTGCAGCTCACAGGGGTGGGTGCGGTCATCGTCCCCCATTCTATAGATGAGGAAACTGGAGGCAGATTGCTTAAGGAGCCCACCAGAATTCCACAGCTGCTGGCTGGAAGCAGAATTCCAACCAAGCAGTCTAAATGTAAAGCTTAACCTTTATACCATGCCTTTCCCCCGCAGTGATGATCAGCCCTGGGCCACTTGCCTAGCACTGGGCAGGGTAGGAAGAGCTTTTTCTCTCACAGTCTGGTGATGCTCAGCAGGGAGGTCAGCATCAGCTTCATGATGACCAATAAACAGATGAGGTCAGTGAGGCTCTGAGTGGCAGTGACTCATCCAAGGTCATACAAACAAGAAAAGTTAAACTCGAACCCACCCAGTCTAGCTGCAGAGCCCCTGCATTCCCCCAAACACAGCTCATAAATGTATAATTCAGTAGGTGGAAGAGTGCATTGATACAAGATGTGGTGACTACCTGTGTTTGATCAGGTATGTCTTGATTCGCACACTGATTGCTAAAAGAGCCAGGCATGCCAAGCCGGCATGAGTCTAACCAGATCTGAGATGCTAACACCAAATGAGACTTGCTCCGTCCTGCCCGCTGTTCCGTGCACGTTGCGTGCATAACTCCTTCAATCCTCGTGACCACTAGTGAGAGGCACACACGGTCACTCTTCCTTGTCACACAAGTGCTGAACTGTCCGCACAGAAAGCAGTTGACGCCCTCCCAGGGTCACCCAGCTGACCAGTGGGGGAGCTGAGATTCAGCCTAGGCAGCCTACCCCATGAAGTCCTGAAATACTAGTTGAGAACAAGAGTGAGCTGTGGGCCACGTACCATGTAGTAGCTGACTCACCCTCACAAAAGTCTAAAAGGTAGGCGTTGTCCTCACTTTACAAATGAAAGGTTTTATTTTGAACCCACATGTGTCTGATTCTCATAGCGCTCGTCCTTAATCCCTACTCAATGTTTTTTAAGTGAGGTATTTAAAGACAGTGTTAAAAAAAAGTAGATCCACGCTCATCCCCCCCACCCCCCCCCACCTTCCACCAGGGCTCACAGAAGGCAGTGGAGGGTTAAGAGGACCCGATCACATCCGGTTTCCATCCCAGCCCCTGGCACATAGAAGTAGGCCCTCCACAAACATTTATGGAACAAGCTACCTACCTAAAATGGACAAAAGCAGGTGGAGACTTAAAAACAGACCCCTGGGTGGTTTTGTGGGGATGGGCACACCCTGAGCCTGTGTGTTTGCAATGCAGGCATCATCACAGCGAACTGCTCAGATCTCTGCCCCGGAGGGAAGGCCCAGACCACGGCGGGGCTCGCTGCACAGCCCCCACAGGTAGGTACGGACCCTCTTGTCCCTGGGAGGAGGAGAGGTCAGGGATGCGCAGGACCCACTCCCAAGCAGGATAAGGATTCCGAGGCTTTCGGGGCTGTGGTGACACTTCCCAGGCTGAAAGGTCATTGTCAACAATCTGCCACCATCCCTTGTAAATCGGTTTGCTAATTTAGGATTTTCTTCTCCAAAGGAGTTTACCTACCCTTGTGACTTGTGCTTGTGACCTGGATTACAGTCAGGGCTACACAGGGATAAACCGGTGAGTGATGCTGGGCTCCTTTAAAAGCCTGAGCCTTTCTGAGTACAAATGTGCCATTCTGATCCTCAAACAGAAACCTGTTTTTAGGGGAATTTCAGTCCATGTGGAATGTCCTTTTAATTTGTAACCTTAGGTTTCTACCCTGTTGTCAGCTCCTGGTGTTTGGTGGAATCTTACTAGTTGTGACTTCGAAGTATCTTCCCTCTCTAATGGCAGCCCTGGTACTAGGGGTCAAGTGTGTAGGCCCCTCATGGAAATAAACAGGAGTCCCTGGTGATGGAAGGGCAGGATGTGACATGGTCCGGGACTTACTGGTCCCACCCCGCTGAAACCCCAGCAGGTGCATCTATGGGGTTTTCCTACTGCATGTCTCCCAACTGTGGATGGTGTGTACCAGTTCCAGATCAAAAGGTCAGGAATGTCACAGGTAAACCAACCTAAAATTTCCTGCAGGACTTTTCAGAGCCTTTACTATGATCATGTGCATTGTGACTCTACAAGAAAGGGAACTAGCTTGTGGCCATTATCACTTTTTAGTCAAGGGACCCTTTTCGACACATATTGGTGCCCCAGAACACAGTGCCCTTCCCCACCCTGAACACAGACTGGAAGGCGCTCTTCTAAAAGAACTCGAAGATACTACCAGGCCCTAAAGGTTTCATGCAGCAGTCCTCAAACGCTGGCTAAAGGATCACTCACCGGCAGAATCACCTGTGAGGTGTATAACAATTTAGGCCACAGCCCAGGCCCCCTGAGTTCTGGGAATCTGGATATTCAGCAGGCATGCTGGGATTTGCTTTATGGCCAATTCAGGGGACTGCACTAGAGTAGGAATCTAAGAAAGCAGGAGGTCCAGCATCTCCTTTGTAATCCTCTGGTGTGTCTGCCTCTCTTCCCCCATCTTCCAGTCTTGGAGCACAGGCAGCGTTCCTTCTCTCTGAAGCATCTCTGGCTCAGCAACTACTTCTACCAGAGTTAGGAGACACCCGCTGAGCACCTCCCCAGGCCTGGCTTTGGACTCAGGAAAACAAAGGTAGCCTCCCCCAGCCTCTGACCTAAGGCTATAGACGGGCTGTGAATGGTGTGGAGTCCAGGCATGGATTAGGAAGGCTGCCTGGAAGAGGAGACACTAGTACCAGGACTCAGGATAAGTATCTTCTCTGGGATTAGGGACATTCTGGGCAGAGGGGCAGCTGGGCAAGGCACAAAGGCAGGAAATGGCATAGGTGCTGCGCATTCCTTGCTGCTAGGGAATGCTGGAGCTTCCAGTGACAGGCAGGGAGCCTCCAGTGATGTGGGAGGGATGCCACACACAGGCTCCCAGCCTCTCACACTTGCCCTCTCTGCACCTGGTTCCAGAATCCTTGTCTTACGTCTTTGCTGGGTGCCTCTCCTCCCCCTTTCCCTCTGACTCCACTTTTGAAAACTTACCTGTCTTCTTTGGCCCACGTTGGACCCATCTTCTTGTGAAACTAGTCCCAGCTCGCTTTCACGGAGACAGAATCTCCCCCTCCCTCAGCCAAAGCTCACCCGCATTCTTTACAAATTTATTTTTCTAGGGGCTACTCTGCTTGGCCCTGTAATGTTGGGAGTTTGTTCTTTATCCCTTTTCTTGCTATTCAGGCCCTGGGTCCTGCTCATCTTCGTTCTCTCCTAAAGTAACTGTTAAAAAAAGAAAGTTCATGTTGAATGAAAAGTGGGCTTTTCAATTTACCAAAATACATTAGGGGCTTTAAAAATGTTCATGTCCTTTGCTTGATATATTCCCCTTCTAGGAACCAGACAGTGGAAATAATTAGAAATTGGGACAAAGATTTATGTAGAAAGATGTTTAGCACAGCGGTTTTTATAATGGCAGAAAATAAAAGCAACCTCCATGTTTAAGTATTAGGGAACGTTTAAATTATTCTGTGTACACAGGACAAATAATTGAGACAAAAGGTTTTTGGAGGAAGGCTTATGAGGTAAGTGGGAAAAATCAGGATATGATTCTGTATATATAATCGCAAGTATATAAAAATGTAAATATACTTGTACATCTATTTGCATGTCTAAATCAATAGAAAAAAAAACCAAAAAATACAGGAAAATATATTAAGTTTTTGTAGAAAGCAGAATTGTTGGGGTGCCTGGATGGCTCAGTCATGAAGCGTCTGCCTCCAGCTCAGGTCATGATCCCAGAGTCCTGGGATGGAGCCCTGCACTGGGCTCCCTGCTCAGCAGGGAGTCTGCTTCTCCCTCTCCCTCTACCTGCTGCTCTCCCTGCTCATGCCCTCTGTCAAATAAATAAATAAATCTTAAAAAAAAAAAAAAAGAAAGAATTTTTGTTTTCTACATTAAATACATATTTTCCATACATTTTATAATGGATATAGATTTCATGTTTGTAATCAGAGGGAAAAACAGTCCACAACACTAGAGCAATGAACAAGAGGAAGGTGGAGTTCTTCCTCAGCTGAAATCTCGCATCTGACCAGGTGGCCTGTATGTTACTAGTAACATATTTGTAAAGGACCACTTTGTGTGCTGTGTATTTCGTTGGACGCTCATCTCCTCTGGGACTGAAGATCACAGACTGAACTCAGCATGTTATGGCAGCCAGAGCCCTGCTTCACCCATCACTCCCATGATCTGCGGTCCTCCTTGGACTGACCCAGTCATGAGGGCCACCTGGTTCTGGGCTGCTTGGATATGACACATGGGACGGAGGATGCCTCGGTTGGTCCTCTAGCAGCCTGACGGTATGTGTTTCTTTTGTGCAGGTGGTCCCTGCCCTTAGCTGATGAGGCTGAGCACAGCTCAGCAGCCTTCAAAGGATTCCCTATCCGCACAACCAGAGCAGCCACTCCCTCTGATTCCATCTTGCACCAATTTAATCCACAGTGGCCTTGTCTAGTTACTTTGGGCACCACCCTTTATCCCTGGCTTCAGCTCTGGTGTCCCGTCCACTTCAGAGTCTCACACTCCTCACACATGGCTATGTGCCCATACCCTGTACTAGGCCAGAAATTCACATTGCATTCAGTCCATCACTCAATTTCCAGAACTTCCGCAGGAGGTCATCCCCATTTTACAGCAGAGGGAACCGGCCTGGCTGCTAGAACTCTCCCAGGCTTCCTGCAGCTCTGAAACGGAACCCAGGGCTGACTGACCTCAGGCCTGGGTGTTCTTAATATAAACTGGACTTCCAAAGAAAAAGGTCCCGGTGGCACTTCCCTCACTTTCCATGTAAATCTCTGCTTTTTAAAGCCTGTGGCTATTCCAAGAAAGCACACTGCCCCCAAAATACCCACGGACATCCGATGTAGGTCAATACATCATGGTTAAGACAAATCAGATCACCAGCCTTTATTCAGCACCTCTGACTTAGGCACCCAGTGTGAAGAGTTTGTAGCAGTGATGTGAATGGATTTGAAAGAGATAGACAGTGGTCTCTGAGGGTTGCCCAGAGTGGGAGTCCAAGGCACATGTTGCCAGAAGAAGTGATTACCCCACAGACATGCCTTTGATTTGGGGGATGGGAAGGTGTGGTCACTTGTCCCCTGTAGGCAAGAGCTCAAGGTGAATTGTATTCCTGTTACTGTTAATAAATCAAATAGTGTCTAATATTGCAGCCATTGTGTGGAAACTGTTCCCACAAAAATCCACCAAAAGAGGAAAGGGGGTATCTTCTGTTCTTTGACCTGTGGGAAAGGGAGGGGAGGACAGTATGCTCCAGGCCTCAGGAGACCCTACAATTAAATGCCCATCATTTAACCTCTCCCATAGGAAGAGCACGTAAAAATCATGCATTTGTTTAAAAGGTCAAAAGCTGGTCTCTTGTTATATTACAGTGGTTGAATAAATAAGAAATTGGAGTAGAACCTTAGGGATGAAAAATAGTTCAAATCCACATATGTTGTGAGCAATGGGTCCAGCCCAAAGTAGTGGAAAGTGTGAGTTATTGAATAATTCTTAAACGCAGTTTTACTGATGTTAAAAATACTCCCTATGGGAAAAAACCATCCATAAATGTTGAATGGACATGTGGATGAATGGGTTAGTGGATAAGAAGGTGGATGGATGATGGATGGTACTTAATACCTATCACACTCTGTTGATAGGTATTACTCTGTTCTAAGCACTGTTCTAAATACTTCATACTTATAGGCTCATTCAGTTATAAAATAGTCCTATGGGGTAAGTACTATTAATATCCTCATTTTAAAGTTGAGGTCACACAGCTTTTGAATGGCAGAGCCAGGTCTAAGGTGTCTGGCTTTAAAGTCCTAGTTCTTAACCATGGACAGACAATTTATGAATACATGTATCAGTGTTTGAATATCATTTCATTATAGCAATATTATGCTGCTAAGAGTGTTTGAAAAGTCTGTTTCTATAATTATATCTGCTTCTTCAAAATCAGTAAATAAGTCCAGTCCTCAGTGGGGAGACTGAGGCCCAGAGAAGGCTGGACCAGCCCCATAGCAGCCAGGGCCTGACTGAGGCTGAATTCAGACCTCCCCATGACCCTTCCAGTTTCTCACTTTCCGTCCCACAGCTAATCTAGTGCTCCTTTGTAAACTCATCTCTCTGATCCATGCCCAGATCCTTCCAGGTTTCCAAAGAAGAGGAGCCTCAAGCCACCATTTACATCAGCTCTTTCCCCAGCTGGTGGTATCCCTGAAGTCCTTCCTCCCACTCCACCCCACCCCCCACCCCAGCTTAGGTTTCCCAGTGACTGAGAGCTGCCAGCTCTAGGAACACAGCCTTTGCCATTTACTGAAGCTGGAATCGGCTTCTAGAAGGACCAGAGATCATAGTGGCTGCTTCTAGCATGGACTTGATTTTCTCCTTTCCACATCAGCCCATTCAAAAGGGACATGACCTTGAACAGTGCCAGGAAAATCCAGGAAGGGCGTCGGGGTTCTGATGCATATACAATTCCGCCAGCAGGAGGCGGCAGAGCCCATCATTTACAAATGCCCCACCCGGAGGCCGGAGGTCAGGTTTGAGTCCTGCCTCCTCCTCTGCCTGGAGTGACCTCAGGCAGGCAGGTTTCCCTCTCCGCAGACGGGGCACAACAATAACGCCTACCACGTGAGATTGTTCTGAGGATCAGAGGAGATTAAACCCATAAAGCGCTTAGCGGTGATGCTCCCGATGAGCACCCAGTAAACATTAGGCATCCTTTCATCATCACAACCATCTTTCTGTTAGAACAAATGCCAAAGGATTATCCACATTGATCAGTTGTTCTAGAGCTTTGTTATATTGAAAACAGATGAAAAGGTCACTAGCTGTCGATTATCCCAAGAACCTTTATGCTGAGATTTACTTCTAAAAGTTCCAGGTGTTAGGGCTGAAATAAGATTGTGAGAAGGGCGGTGACTTGCTTGAGGCCCACAGCTAGCACTAGGATTTTACAGCCTTACAGGTCCACAGCCGCCTTCAGACCACCCTGCCGTGGGGTCCAGCCACTGCACGCAGACTTGTGGTAGAATACTGGAGGAAAACAAACAGGCCATTGTGTATTTCTTGGCGCCTTACCAATAGTAAACAAAAGATTTATTGATTAAATTATTACTTAACAACTGTATGTCTCTGAAGTCGCTCCAGATTCACTTACATGCTTTTTCTTTTGCAGTCATGAACACACAGACACTGTTCATTCCCAGGAAAGCATCCTGTGCAGTTTTCAGACAGAATATGATGTTATCTTTACTGGCCGTGACCCTTCTGTAACCTTGTTGGCCTCCGCCCTTGTTTTTCCAGCTGTTCCTGAGCTGAAGCTGCTCTGCGGGGCAGACGTCCTGAAGACCTTCCAGACCCCCAACCTCTGGAAAGATGCACACATCCAGGAGATCGTGGAGAAGTTCGGTGTGGTGTGCGTGAGCCGCACAGGTCACAACCCAAAGGAATACATCTCGGGCTCGCCCATCCTGCACCAGTACCGGCACAACATTCACCTGGCCAGGGAGCCCGTGCAGAGCGAGCTCAGCTCCACGTACGTCCGGCAGGCCCTGAGCCAGGGGCACAGCGTGAAGTACCTGCTCCCAGATGCCGTCATCACCTACATCAGGGAACACAACCTCTACACCAGGGACAGTTCCTGGAAAGGCAGCAGCACCCAGAGGAGTGAAGGAAAGACAGGCTGGGAAGAGTCAACCACTCCACAGAGCTCCTCCTGACCAAAGGGCAGTCAAGGTCTTGGGCTTTTTTTTTTTTTCTTCTCATGTTTCCTTTATTTTACTTAGGCAGTGAGTTGACTTCAGAGGCATCTTCTGTCCGAGGAAGATACACGTTTCTTTTGGGAGGAGGAGCAGGTGCCGACATCTCAAGAATGGACTTTCTCCAAAGATGTTAAAATGGAGTGACAGGTCACTAGAACTAGACCACAGCTCTCAGAACCTGTCATTGCAGAGGCCTTCTTGTTCGGTAAGGGGTGACTCAGGCATGCGCATCGAAGGCAGTTCTGCGCCAGGCAGAGCCCCTGAGGGTCAGCTCAGAACTGCCCACACACATTTTTTAACTAGAACCAGGTGCAGATGCCTGTCTTGATGGGAGAGACTTGACAGGATGCTAATTACCAAACAGTGGGCTTTGTCAACGCCTTGTTCCAACAAAATAATACTAAGTGAGGAGTCAAAAATTTGGCAACAGCTCTTAACCACCGTCTGCCTGCATAAGCTGTAGATACAATTTTAAATCTTTCTAAGAAGTGACCTTCAAACAGTATTTTTGATACGGCAGATATTTTTAACACGACTTTTTTTAAATAAATGCCAGGACTCCTGATTTCCAGGTTTCTAAGAAGGAACTGAGGTAAAACAGATGCCTTGACTGTTTCAGAGGATCTTTTTGAATGTTTTATGACCGCCTGCCTGTTTGAATATTGGCAAAGAGATAAATAATAAATTGACATCGAAAGATATTAATGAAAAGTTTCTTTTTTCTTCCTTTGTTATATTATTAATGCCTGATGTACCAGCTGTTGCTCTTCTTTTTAGCTACCCCCATGAAATTTGCCACTGTTCCAGTTGAACTGACATGAATTTAAAAGTTTCTGTTTCCAGAGACAAGCAGTGGGGAAAGCAGTTGCTTTCCAACACATTGTAACGACTGGGTAGTCTGAAGCTCTGGGCCGAGGACTCCGTTCAGGAGGGCCCTAAAGGATAAGAAGAGGAACTTCACCCGTGTGGAAGATTGTCATTCCACTCCACCTTAAGAGGTTTTAATTGGACTAATTCGGTTTGAGTTTACTCTTTACATCTGCTCACCAAATGACTGAATGCATTCAGAATGGACCACTCCATACTTTTACATGGGTTCGTCCTTGCTGCAGGTGTCGTCATGCAGAAAAACCAAGGGCCAGCCAGGAAGAATCTCCTGTCTCCCCAGATCTATCCCAGCTTTCATGTGTGTGTCACAATAGCAAGGAGTAAAGTAGGCAATCAGGATTTCCTGGATCTAGTGTAGTGGGGCCCTCCTGTGGGGTGGGGAGGGTCCCTAGACCCCCACCGCTGCCACCTCTAAAGCTGCTAGCCCTTCCCCACCCTGAATGTGCTCTGCACCCCAACGGATCTCTGAGAATCTTGGTGATGCAGGTGAATAGGATTCAAACAGCCTTGTCCACAGCAAGCTGTGTGACTTGGACCAGTTCCCTTCCTTCCTCTGAGCCTCGGTTTCCCAAACTCTAAAATGTGGCGGTTCAACTAGATCATCTCTAAATTATCTTCTAGCTCTGATTTCCTGAGGCACTGAGTGTCGTCCTCCAGCCTGGCCACCCTTCTTGGGGTCCAGTTCACTTCTGGCCACATTGGAAGTTCTCCAAGGGCAGACGGTCTTTGTTTTGTTGGCTGGTGTATCCTAAGTGCCAAGAAATTTTCTGTCCCAAACGCGGTGGCAGGATTTGCATCCCCTAGGAACTGGACAGAAATTCAGACTCTCAGGCTCCACCCAAGACCTATTGACTCAGAATCTGCATTTTAATAAGATTCCCAAGCTATTCAATGTTCGGGCCTAGAACAGTGCCTGTTAAAATAAATATTAGCTTTATTTTTAGTAGACTGCATATATGGTTGAAATATATGATTGCATCACGTTTACTCTGTGACTATCTTCCTCCTCACCCTCTGAGCAACATTTTCCCACTGTTCTATGTGGATTATAGAAAGAACACAGCTGGAGTGTCCAGAGAAAGTGGTGGTGAGTGATCCTGGGGGTTTGATGCAGGGTTTCTCAACTTGAGCAATATTGACATTCTGGGCCAGATCACCCTTTCCTGTGAGGGGCTTCCCTGGCCTCTCTCCATTAGATGCTAGGAATACCCACCCCCACGTGTAAATATAACAACAAAATGCCCCCAAGGCCTTCCCAAATGTCCTCTGGGGCACAAAACAATCTCCCTGGTTGAGACCCGCTGGTTTAAGGATACGACTGGTTTAAGGATATGACTGCTGCCTTTCTCATCAGGGCAGATGAGCTGACAGCAGCTTTAGAATACCATCCTCTTATAAAGGGTAGTTTGACAGGTGTCCCCACCACTCACAAAGTCGTGTTTATTCTGGGGGACACAGTGCTACTGACAGTGGAAATTAGAAGCCATGCCCTTGATGCAGAAGCACCCCCAACTTCAGTCTCTTACTTCCACATGCCCTGAGTGACTCTCTCCCGTGTTTGTCCAGGCTGAGGCTTCCTAGCACGTCCTGAGCTCTCAAAATGGACAGCCACAGCCTGGCAAGCAGAAACTCAAGGAGCGAAAACTAAAAGTCTTGTGATTATAACTTTTGTGATTCGGAATTCAGGGTTCATTCATTTGAATCATTTTTTGGTGCACCTCTCATGTACCAGGCACTAGACAACACTAGGAGTATAATGATGAATAAAACAGACCTTCTCTCCACTCGTGAATCTTACAGTCTGGTGGGAAGGTGGAGAGGAATCAAATACTCCCAGAACCAAACATCTTATTACAGACAGGGATGAAGGTTCTGAAGGCCAACACACCAGCATTCCTTGCAGCCAGAGACCCAGGTTCACCATGAGGTTAAGCTGAAGCCATAGTCCCTCACTTGCCCTGTCCTTTTCCAACACCCTGTCAGGGGAGGGGGGAGGGTGCTAATTGTGTGGATATCTAATTTCACATTCATCATTTTTATTTTTCTGAAAAGTGGCCTTCAAAATTATACAAAGTATAGACTCCATAAAACATTGGGGATTCATCCTGATGACAGAATCTAGAAAGTAGGGAAGAGAAGATGGACCTGAAAGATGGATTCACAAAACTTGGGGATAGATGGAGGCAGTTGGGCCTTCAGACAGAATGAACAACATATGCAAAGGCCCTGAGGCAGAAAAGGGCAAAATGAGCAGCATCATGAGCTGGGTTCATCATCAACTCCTTAAGGAAGGGGTTCACTATTGCAGCGTGCACCTCACAGCAGGCATCCTGGCATGCCAGCACCCCCCCCCTTCCCATAGGTTCAGGACACTAGGCCCAATTAGGCTTGATGAGGAGATGCCCTCATCTCTCTGATTCATGGCTGTACCATGTGGCTCCCACCAGTGCTGAGCCTTTACATTGTCTCCTAAAATAAAACAACACAACAAAACCTACTTAATAATAAAGTAAGGGCATACACACATACACATACGCACACGCGCACATATATATCTCTCAATTTCTAGACTCTTACTTTGTCTCATTGATTCATGTAGCCTTCTTTTTTTAGTATCAGAAGGGAAAACAGGTATCAGCGCTGTGCTCCTGATTTATTGCATTGACACTGCCCCGCATGCCTGAGCTCACATTCCTTTCCATTCCCTCAGGCCTTCTTTGCATCTAGTGTGCCAAGGTGTTTTGTTTATTTTGCAAGAACAGAAAAACAGTGTTTTGGCCTCCTGGGTAAATAGAATTTCCAGCCTTAAATAAAGGTTCTCCCGTGGTAGCAGATGCTGGCCAAATGAGAGGAAAGGATTTTTCATTTAGGATACGGTCTGTCGCTTGGGAGAGAATGATGCAAAATTCCATTTTAAACCAACAGTGCAACAGACTTGCAAGGCACGTCTGGTAATTGGGTCAATACAGGAACATGAATTTCCTCATCCCTGTCCTGCCCTCCCTTTGCCAACAGCGTTTCCGCCTTCACTTTTAGCCAGGATCTCCATGCACGGACTTGCTCAGTTTCAGTCGTGAAGTTATTTTCTTGGACCAGAGCTCAGCATTGCAGACACACATGTATGACTAACAAACAATCTATAGTAATGCGTGTAGGCACACACCTCAGAAGATTTTAGACTTGTTAAAATAGCCCCAGAAAGTCTTGTTCATGGCGCCAAACCCTGAAAACTGGGAGGAACCCTAACATTCATTGGATCCTGCCTTTCTCAGTTTTTCAGAACACTGAAATCCCACAAATTAATGGGAGTTCCACTATTAGAAACAAAGAATATGGTATTCTGCAGACCAGTTTGGAGAGCCCGGCTTTCCTTCTGGTGGAATCCATAATGAGTGTCTCCATGTCCCACTGTCTTCTTTCCATGCATTCCTTACATGCAGCCTCTTCTCTCCATCCCTCCTGACACCCTCCAGCCCAGACTACCATCGTCTCTTAGCCAGACTCCTGTGATGGGTCTCCCCAACCCACCCTTGGCCCCTGTGACCCACTCTCAGCATACGAATCTGAGCGGTTTTGTGATTGCACACAAATCTGATCATAATACCTCCCTACCCAAACTTCTTCCACAGACACCATAAAGAAAATGGAAGACAAGACGTGGAGAACACATTTACAAAATGTGTATTTAATATTTAATAAATGACTTATGTCCAGACTATGAAAAGCTCTCCAACCATTCAAAAATAAAAAGACTAAAAATCTGATTAAAAGATGATCCAAAGATCGAACTAGACCCGTGTAGGAAAAGGTTAACACTGCAGGCCAGATGTGGCTGTTGAGAAAGTCCTGCTCCTAGGCAGGCCTTTGGCTGGTATCTGGGAAATTGGCTTTTGGAAGGCTGCCCATGATTCTGACTGATAAGGCTGTTCTGTCTATCTGGGGGCGCGGAGTCCTGCCGCCGCAGCCTGCCTAGGCTGGTACACACGATGCGACTTGTAGTGAACACCTGCTCTCCTAGGAGCTTGGAAGTTCAGAAATCATAGCTGGTGTTGCAGGCACAGTGCCTACGTCACTAGCCCACAATAAAACCCCGGGGATTCAGAGTCTCAGACAGACTTCCCTTTGCAGAAACACTGCATGCTGTTGTCGCATTTCACTGGTGGAAGAATTGTGTTCTGTGCGGCCCCCACTGCAGGAGGAGAATATTGGAAGCCTTCACCCAGTCTCCCCAACTCTCCTGGATGTGTCTTTCCCCCCCCGATAGTCCTGCCATGCATCCTTTCACTGAAATGACCTGCTGCTGTGAGCATAGCTAACCCTTAGTCTTGTGAGTTCTTCAAGAGAGTCACCAAACATGGGATCCTAGAAACAAGACACTTTACCAAAGATCCGTGAATGACAAATGAGCAAAAAAAGATGCTTGGCACCAATGGTCTTGAGAGACCCAAAATGAGATACCACTTTGCACCTCCATGAATGCTTAAAATCGGTCAGCAAAATCCCATTCTTAAGAATCTGTCCAAAAAGAGATGCGAACATGTACGTGTCTATCCCCTCACTTGTGTGTGAATATCTATAGCAGCAGTATTCATTGTAGCCAAAAACTGGGAGAATCCAGATGTTCTTCAGCTGGCAAGTGGAGAAACAAATGTATCCATGCAATGGGAAATTACTCAGCAGCTCAAAGAAGGAACCTGCAACAAAAGAGATGACTCTTGGAAATGTGCTCAGCGGAAGAGCCAGACAATAAGACGACACGTTGTATGGGTCTGTTTACGTGAAATTTCTAGAAAAGGCAATACTATAGATAGAG